CAGATACTGAGACCCATGTGTGACAAGTAAGGGTTCTGACCAGCTCACCTTGGCTATGCAGGCCTGTGGGGTGGCTGAGAACCAGCTGTCACGTGCTAGCAGGCAGCCAGCACTACTAAGAGCGTGCCACGCACTCACACTGCAAAGCTAGAAAATAGCCATGTGCCTCAGAGGACGCACCTAACTGCAAGATGGAAGTCACAGAGAATGTCACAAAGTGAATGATAGTTATCCAAACTGCCCCCTCCCTTTTAAGAACATTACCTAATTCACCTCCATACTCCAAGGCCATTTTAGCTACCTCCCTGGTCACCCCAGAGTTCATCCAAGGAATATCAAACATTTCAGTGAATCTATTTACCCACCGAGATCTTCAGAGTCAAGGCAAGGAAAATATAATACCTTCTGTTATTAGAACTCTGAGTTACCAAGATATTGAGCTAGTGGAAAGAGAATAGCTTGTTTATAAAATGCCTGTGTGGCAGATATTGTGCCAGTATTATTCTCTTTATAGATAAAGAAACTGAGGTTATTAACTGTTATTGGGTGACTGACTCTATGAAAACAGATCAAAACCTTGCCCTATTCTGCACCATTTTCAAGATCTTTTCTATGCTCAAGACCATTGTTGAAAATTTTCTTTAACCCTCCACCTTTCCCAGCAAATTGTCTTTTCCCAAGGACTGGCCCCTCCTGACAACATGCCCAAAGTACATGAAGTCTCACCATCCTTGCCTCTAAGGCAACAATCCATAAAGCTTCCTCTAGTCATATGAAATCTGGTGGCAAAGGCCATAGGGAACTGCACTTCAAACCCAAAGGTTTACCTTGCTGGTGGTCTAAATTCACCAGTGGCTCAGCAGGAGTAAAATGGGCAAACTCTTGGGTGACTCACAGCCTGAGACTCAATAAAAGGTCAGTTGAGTCTGTTCTGACTCAAGAGCGAGTAGTATGTGTGAATCTCCAAAATAGTGAGATTATCAGTAACTCATTCGAATTCAGCAACAATTTAGAACTCAATCTGAAGTTTCACCTCAAGGCCTCTCCAAAGAGAAGGTCTAACACTATACAATAAAATTTACTATAATAATAAAGATATTCTATGTGTGTGCTGTGTAACCAGTATTGTCAAAAACAATTTTAGCAGGTTTTGAGAGGCAGTAAATTTTATGGGAGGAACTTGCTCTTTCTTCTCCCTTAGAGGGAGTGGTGGATTCAAACTGTGTGTGTCTGCAGCTTCTGGTGCCACCAGAGCTCCCAGTAGACAGTTATTACTGGGCACCTGAAGTGTGGCTACTGACAGAGAAACATTATTTAAACTTTATTTCATTTTCATTGAAAAGATGCCTGTGCTAGCAACTATCATGTTCAACAGCAAAAGTGGTAGAAGCAGAAGTCTTAAATTTGAAGTTTACCTCTTATTTCTTGGTTAGATTTGGGTAAGCTGCTGCAACTCACAATGTGTCATTCCCATGGAGGAAATTGTGGGAACACTTGCTGAGGTTGCCTTTCTGCACATAATGTTTGAGAAGCATTAAAGCCCCGTAAAGGCAAAGAACAGACTCAGAAGTTGATGGGCCCGAGACCACACTCAAGGGATCTCTTAGGTTGCAGCTCCTGGCAAGATGGTTCTCAGGACCCAAGTACCTACCAGCCATGTAACTTGAAGACAAAGTCCCACCTCTCATCCTTTCACATATACACATAGAGCATAGACCTCATGCAGCCCCAAAGGGGCAAGAAGAGACTTTAATTAGGGGAGAGGGGTATTCAGCAGATAAGAAAAGGTACATTGAACATGGGAGCAGAGGGCCGTAGCAAGGAAAGGTCCGGCCAGCTCTGGCGGGCTCACTCTCTACCTCCAACACAGGCACTACACTGACAGACAAGGCAGAGCCACCTGGCTGTCAGACCCAGCTCCTACACAGAGCCGTGGCCACTCACTCAGCCCTTGTCTCCACAGAGTGCTGGGTGGTCATCCTTGGACATAACTTAGGAAGCTAGCAGAGGGTCCTCACAGCTTCTGCTCAGCCCAGCAAGGCTTGGAAGTATGAGGGCAGGGGAGAGGAAGTGGAGTCTGAACCCTCCCTCCCAACCTGGGGCTGCACGGGGAGGGACAGTAGTCGCCTTCTGGCTCCAGGCCTGCCCAGACCCACAGCGACCAATAAGGTACAATCAATTGGACCAGTCACGGTCATTTGTTTAAAAAAAAAACAAACAAAACAAAACACAAAAAAACTCTGAAACAAAAGGTTACAGTCTCCTACAAGCATAGAGTTTAAGTTTTAGAACTTTAAAAAAAACAAAAACAACAAACCAACCTGTCCCAGCCCAGGGGACTGGACATCAGAAGCCAGCCTGACCAGGCACATGTGGCCTTGGGCACGCCCACTGCTGCTTTCTTGCCCAGCTAGCAAGCATACCACCCCCCTCCCATATCTGGTGCCCACCCCAATCCAGCTCCCTGCTCCTGCTGCTGTCACTCCAAGAAACAGTTCCAGGACACCTTCGCAGAGACACAGGGAAGGCAGAGGGGGAAGGCCACGAGATCCAGCCAGATGGTTTAGAACTGTCAAGAGAAGACAAGTAAGAGGCAGTGAGTGGTGGTTATCATTATATCCTGGCAAACCTGCTCTGCAGAAGTGGGCTGATTTGAGAGCACCCACTGCACTTGTTTCTCTAGGAGATGCTCCATGGACATGCTTTCTAATGCAGCAGGGATGTACAGAATGCTGGCCAAGCCAGCACTAGAGCAGGCACAACACTGGAGGGCGAAGTGGGCTTCTCTACATCCCCTGGTGGCCTTGGCACAGCAACTTCTGTAAAGCCTTGACATACACTTTCTTCTTTGGTAAACTGAGGTGGTCTTCTTTAAGATAGGGGCTCATATAGGGCTTGGGGACAGGGGCCAAAGATCAAATACTTTGTCTTAAGCTCTGGTTCTTCCTCCTAATTAGAACAAGTCCCTAAAAGGATATTTAAAGTTTTTTACATTAGATTGTAAACTCAAGACTCATGGGCTGAACCCAGCCCACAGAGGAGCACTATTCAGCACAGTGGTTTAAAAACATAGAGGCTGGTCATTTTTTTTAAAAAATGGGAAGATGAAGTCATGATAGGCTAGCCCAAGCAACAGAGGTCCTCTTTAGACAAAGCATGCGCTCATCAGCCCCCACCCAGCCCGCTTCACTTATTTACATTATCCACCAGATCCCTACATACACCTGAGTATATTATAATAATACCATTATATTCTGGGGTACGGTCTTAGTTATTCAAGTCAGAAAACTTATTTCCAAGTCCTGGTCCCTCCATTTACTTACCTGAGGGGCCTTGGGCAAGTGGCTAAACTTCCCAGAAGCCCCATTTACTAATCTGAAAATTGGTATCTACAAAAGAAGGTTTTACATATTATACGGCCTTTTTTTATTTACATAACTCATTGTTGGTATACGCTGTAGAGTTGGAATTGACTCATAGCTGATCCTCCAGTGGGTTTTCTGAGGCAGGAGACTACCCATCTTTCACCCATGGAGCAGCTGGTGGATTCAAACCACGTGCCTTTGGGATTGCAGTTCAGCTTCAGTTTCTTACCACTAAGCCACTAGCACTCCCTATGACTTTATGTTAAGTGCCATCAAGTTGCAGGTGGCTCATAGTGACCCTATGAGCAAAAAGTCCTGGACACCTGCATAACTTTCGTCCTTTCTCCAGGTTCATAAGTTTCCAGAGGCAAGCTAGTACGGAAGTGGATGCCACTCCTGTTTCCAACCTTGTTTTAATTGAGAAACTCCACCAAACACTGTCCACCTTGGGAAACCATTCTGGCATTTGACTCATCAGTGTCACAGTGTTCAGTTTCACAGCAATCACGCATTACCTCTGTACAGCAAGTATCACTTTATAGAAATAAAATTATTCTACTAGCCAAATTCACACTCGGGGACTTCTCCAAATTACTGAGGAGCAATGATGTCAATCTGAGGACTAAGGTGCGCCAGATTCAGACCATGGTCCTTTTTATTCACTTGCTATGCATCTGAGAGCTAAACAATGAATAAGCATGACAGAATTAGTGATGTCTTTGAGTTGTGGTGTTGGAGAAGAGTACTTAGTATCCCACCAACTACCAAAAGAACAAACAGCTACGTCTTAGAGAAAGTGCTCCTTGGAAGGTAAGGTAACAAAGCTTCACATACTCTGGGTATGTTGCTAGGAAAGGCTATTTTGTGGAAAGGGACATCATGCTTACAAAGGTGGAGGGTTGGTATAAGAGAGGAAGACCCCTCAAAGAGATGGATTCACTCAGTGACTACAGCCAACGGGCTCAAGTATGTCTGAGATTGTGAAGATGGCACAGGACAGGAGAGAGTTCTTATCAGTTGTCCCTAAGGTTGCTATGGACCTTACAACAATAATGAAATGGCTGCTGTATGAGTGAGCCAAATAATAAATTGGGACAAGAACTGATTTTCCTCACAGTTGAAAATGAACAACCCTACTCTTAACCCCTGTGCAATTTATAGCCTCTGAAAATCACTGGAGGGTCAGCTATGAGTTGGTTCTGACTTGATGGCAATGACATAACTTACTCTGAAAGGCAAAGATCTCCATTTTATAGCTGAGACAACTGAGTAAGTATTAGAGAAACAGTCTGTGCCGATTTAACCACTACACTACCCTGTGCAGACAATATAGCTACTTTCTATACTGGCTGACTTCAAAAAACTAACTACACCAGGGAAGAAGCCATGATTTCTAAGAATCCGAGCTCCTCTGGGCTCAGTCTGCAGGCTCTGGTGGAACATGTCCACAAAGTAAAGACTGACTGGAAAAAGAAAAAGAAGGTATGTCCTGAACATCAAAATAAGAACAAGTAGGTCTTCAACACATTAATGTAAACAACTCCTTCTCTTTCAAGGACTTCAGTTCTTTTCATAACGGGTACTGAAAGACTTAAAGCATGAAAGTGACTGGAAGCAGGCTGAGGAAATGATGGCCTAAGCCTGAGAAACAGACACTTAAAGAAAATATTTAAGTCTAGATCATAATTATCCTGTATTCCTATAAAATTCACATGACAGTAAAAGTGTCTCACTCGGATCTGATTCAGCAAGGATTAGGCGAATACTGTGAGATGTGGAAATGAGCGACACTAAGAAAGGTGCTGCCCAGATACTAAGCCATGGACACGGCCTCAGTTCGAAAGTGCCTGGCTGACCTGCCACGCAGGAGTCCTGGAGGCCTCCAGGACCAGCGGGACACTTTCTGCACCACTTTGCCACCATGGCAGATGTAAGGTCTCCCCACCCCATGCCTCCTCCCATCCCTGAAGAAAAACCCTGCTCACATTCTTGAGGAACTCTTCAGCCACGATGCGCGCCCTGGCATTGACCGACAGCTTCATCTCACTGATCTCCTTGTCAATCTCCTCCATGAAGTGGATCACAAAATCTACCAACTTGTGTTTGTACATCTGCTCTGTGTGGAAGTTGGTGATCAGAAAACTGATATCATACCCCTAGGGAAGGAAGCAGGGCAGAGAAAACCAGAAGAGAATCAGCATTTCCAGAGGACTTAATCAGTTATCCACATGTTCCACTTTGATTCATCCACAAGGCTTCCAGCTGGCCATGAACTCTGCCCAAGCTATACACCCTTTCAGTCACAAATGCAGCTATAAATTTTGTGGACAGGAGATGCCTCTGGAATACTATCAATGGCAAAAACAATTACATTCAGAGTCGAGGAAGGTAAAGGGTCTTGGAATCTTTTAACAAAAGATTTGAATCAGGGGAGCTTTGGTGGCCTACTGGCAAGGACCTACAACTACAATCCCAGAGGCGCACGGTTCGAATCCACCAGATGCTCTGCCGGGGAAGGAAGGGCAGTCTCCTCCTGTACCTGTCAGATCTGATTTGATGGTACACGTACAAAAATAATAAAATTAAAAAAAAAAAAAATATTCGAATCCAACAATTAAAAAACATTTAGACTAGGTAAGTGATGGCATAAAGATATGGGATTAAAGTCTTATACTATATAAGGTGTATGTGGATTACCAGTTTTATTTATTGAACAGAGCCCCAAAGGTTGGATGCAGGGCTGGCAAAGGAATTTCCGGAGAAGGCTTAGGAAGAACTCAGCCTACCTGTCTGAGGGCACATGCTAACGTGGGTGGCATTGCTCAGTCACAGGGTATATTGTTACTTACATAACAGATATCAAATTCAAAGTCAGGCAACAACTGATCCTGTGTCATCTGTGGCTCTGAGATGACAACTCAGTTGGTGACACAGTTTAAGAAAAACTTCTAATTGTGTTCTGTGGCTAGATTACAGGCTCTTAAGACACAAGCACTGTTTCTTAACTTTTGCCTTTTCCACAGCTGAGGTACACTCAGATTAAGGCCAACTCTTAACTTAGTCACTGAGTGCCTTTCAGCCAGAAAATCAGTAATCCTGGTTCTACAAACTACAGATCAGTGACAATGAAGTCCTCATCTGTGGACAAGGTCACAAACCACTAGGAGTAGTTAACTCAGGATGAAGGTCCCTTCTAGTCTCACCTCCACTGGTTTCCTTCGAAGGATAAAGAAGTTCTCTGCTCTCATCATCATGAAACGCATGAATTTGTGGCATAAAATCTTCTCAATCTCATCAGCCTGGTAAGAACAAAGGAGAAATCGATTTCTCGTATATGACACCCTAACTAACAGAAACTTTAAGTCTGGTTTTTGGATTCCAAACCTCCAGACCCAGCAGAGATGGTGTGGTTTGGTTTAACGAGGGCCATCACTGCCTTAATTCTACAATGTGGAAGAACTGGCTGCTAACTGAAAAGAAGGCCTCCATGAGGGCCTTTCCAATTTGATTGGGCAGAATCTTGTCTTCACTCACGTCAGAAAGGTAGCCCTGGCAAGCCAGAGCCTTTAGTCAGCTCCTTCCAGAATCTACACTAATATACAAAGATACCAAATGGCCTTTCTCTTTATTGTTTCATTATTACTACACTTCTTAATGTGTGTGACAGGTATCACCTGGCATCAGAGATAACCTCAAGTGGTTGATACTTTGTAACACTGAACACCAAATAATCCCCAAAGTTTCTCCCTTTTAAATACTTAATAATTTTAAGGAGGTCTGGTATTTCTTAACACTCCTCAATTTTTCTTACTGTCTTCTAACCAAGATAGTAGGCCCCAACAAATAGTCTTCTGCATTCAAGCGTCTAGTTAAAGTGTCTGAACTTTAATACCATAGTTTTCTTTTCCTTGTTGTTTCAGAGTTGTCCTCTATTTGTGACAAACGTGGTTTTTCCTACATAGCACTGTGACAGTTTTTCACACAGATTTAAATAAAGGAAATTAATTCTACTTAAATTTGTTGTTGTTATGTGCCGGCGAGTCGTTTGCGACTCAGAGGGACCCTATGTACAACAGCCCTAAACCCTGCTCTATCCTGTGCCAATCGCACTGCCTCTGACACACCCATCCCGATTACCCCAGTCACTGAATCAATCCACCTCATAGAGGGTCTTCCCCTCCTGTGTTGTCCCTCTACTCTACCCAGCATGATGTCCCTCTCTAAAGACCTGTCTCTCCTTACAACATGTCCAAATTATGTCAGATGAAGCCCCAGAATCCTTGCCTCCAAGGAGCAGCCTGATTTAACCCCCTCTAGGACAAATCTGTTTGTTTTCTTGGCAGTCCACGGTACATTCAATACTCTTCTCCAGCACCACAGCTCAAAGGCGTCAATTCTCCTTCCATCCTCCCTAGTCATTGTCTAACTCTCTGATGCATAACAAGTGATTGCAAAAACTATGGCCTTTATCAGGCGGACCTTAGTCTCCAGAGAGACACTGTTGCTCTTGAGTATTTTGGAGAGGTCCCTAACTGCAGACTTTGCCATCGCAATACGTTTTTTGATTTCCTGGCTGCTGGTGCCAAGAGTGTTGACCGTGGAGCCGAGCAAACTGAAGCTGTGAACAATCTCAACCTCAATCTCTTCGCCATCCATCCTGATGCTACCGATTGGTCCAGTGGTGAGAATTTTTGTCTTCTTGACATTGAGCCTCAGTCCATATTGAAGGCTGCAGTCCTTGACCCTCTGCAGTAAGTGCATGAGGTCCTCTTTAGTTTCAGTGAGCAGGGTTGTGTCATCTGCATAACACAGACTGTTGATAGATCGTCCACCAATCCTAACGCCACGCTTCTCCTCATAGAGCTCAGCCTCTTGGATAATCTGCTGTGCATACAGGTTGAAAAGGTATGGAGACAGGACACATGTCTGGCGTACACCCTTCCCAATTTTGAACCATGCAGTGTTGCCCTGCCTGTTCTGACGACTGCCTCTTGGTCCAAGTATAGGTTTCGCATTAGCACGATTAAATGTTCTGGGATTCCCGTTCTTCTCAGAGTCAGCCACAATTTGTTATGATCCACGCAGTCAAATGCCTTTGCATAATCAATGAAACACAGACAGACATTCTTCTGGTATTCTCTGCTTTCAGCTAAGATCCATCTAACATCAGCTAGTACCCTAGTATCCCTAGTACCACGACCCCTTCTAAACCCAGACTGGACTTCTGGCAGTTCTCTGCTGATGTACTGTTCCAGTCATTTTTTTATAATCTTCAATAGAATCTTGCTTGCATGTGAAATCAATGATATTGTTCTGTAGTTTCCACACTCAGTTGGGTCGCCCTTCTTTGGGATGGGAACAAATATAGACCTCTTCCAGTCAGTTGGCCAAGTGGTTGTTCTCCAGATTTTTTGGCACAACTTGGTGAGCACATTCACGGCAGCATCTGTTAGCTGAAATATGTCAATTGGTATACCATCTATTTCAGGGGCCTTATTTTTTGCTATTTCCTTCAAAGCAGCTTGAACTTCTGCCTTCATCACCATAGGCTCTGGCTCAAATGCTATTTCATTAAATTTTTCTGTATCTGCCAATTCCTTTCGATACAATGACTCAGTATTATTAAGTAAAAACCTATCCAGATAGTCAACAATTTGGCAAATATTATTAAGCTGGCAGGGACTTCCTGAAGAAACATGTAAGAAACGACTTTCTGTTTTTCTACTATAAATCCGTGTATGGGTATCAAATTGGTGCCACTACTACTTATTTCTCTGAATTAGAGTCACTGCTCATTCTGACAGGTCTCTGACCAAACTGGCTCCAGTACCTTGGCAGCTACATTTCCCACACTCTCTACCACATCACGGCCTCAAAGGTGGAGCTACTGTCCTTTTCCTTTTCTCATTCTTCTGATCTGCTGAGTTTGGCAAATCACATCCTAACATATTCCAGCAAGTAAGGTTGAGGTTTCCTGCCTTTAATCCAGCATGCTAACTTCTCTGAGATGTGAGCCCCTGGCTTGAGAGAGAACTCCCAATTATGGGCCATGGAGGGGAGGGAAGTCAGGGGCACCATAGTGAGCTTACCTGTTTCACAGCAATGCTGACCCGGACAGAGTTGATGGATCCCTCAATCAGGACCTTTTCCTTCTCATTCCTGCTAATGGTCACGGGTTGCAACAGGAGCTCTTTGCTACTCCTGAAAACACAATGTCACAGAGGTCTATGTACTACAGAGATAAAGGGAATTAAAGAAAGCTCACAGCAGGTGCAGAAGCATGACCTGAGACCAATGAAGCCAAGGGACAGAAAAATTGTAGGAAGGAATGTTCTACAGAAGACTGAGCCAAGCTCTGGAATAGTGACATAGATTTGAAATCCAGCCTCTTACTCTCCTTTGGGCAAGTTACCCCGTTTGGAATTTTAACTTCCACATCTGTGAAATGACCGATTCCTATTTTGCTTGTGAAGACTGAGGGAGATCAAAAGGGGTCAAGTGCCTACCAGTGTGCCTGACATAAAGTAGGGGCCTTACAAAGTACAGCTCTCATTTTAATAACAACTACTCATCAACTCATAGCTATGAGTTGGTTCTGGCTCACAGCAAATGACATTCTCTCAGGATTCTGAGGTGTTAACAGCAATGAAGAGAGGACCGCTCATCTTTCTCCTGTGGAATAGCTGATGATTTAAACCACCAAGAATACAGTCTTTTGGTTAGCCAGACAACTCCCTATAGACAAACTCATATATTGTTTAAGGAGTAAGATGGAGGAATCCACCTGTAGAGGTAAAAACAAACTAATACATAGCCGATCCTTTAGTTATCAATCCAGAATGATTTACTATTTACCACTAAGAATCCTCTTGGGGAGCTCTGTGGCTCAATAGTAAGGAACTGTACTGTTAACCCATTTCTTCTGCCAGCTGATGCTTGGAAGAAAGATGAGCAGTCTCCTCTAGTGCGACTTATAGCCTCTGAAAATCTGCATGGATCTTCCATGAGTTGGTTTCAACTTGACAGTACTTAACAAGATTCAACTTGACAGTACTTAACATGATTCCTCCCAGCTGAAGCCTTAGTTCAGTGCCCCTAAATCCACAGATAGTTATAATGCTAGTTAACCGTGGTAGAAGTGTTTGTGAACTTCTCTCAGAATTTCAAATGCCCAATAGAAATCACAAACATTAAGCACCAGAACAGGGCACATCCAAACTATCATGTCTGTTATTTACCCATTTTCTCTTTTCTTTTCCAAAGCAAACATACGCGATTAGTGTGATAATGTTGGTTATGTGTTACATATGTGCCAGATTAAATATAAAAGAGGGAAAAGAATATTTACAAAACATAAACTAGATAAAAAAAATTAAACACATAAATACAAAAGTTAAGAAATACAGTGTCTACACTAATGGGAGAAAAAGAAATTCCTCGGTCTTTAAATTAAAGAGAATGGTGTTCGCATTTCAAATTATTTAGTTCATTCATTCTCTCTTTAAACTGCCCATGGGTTCAATAATGCCACAATTCTACTCTGCAGTCATATCTGTGTCAATCAGTCTTGCTTCCAAGGTACATTTCTCCCCTGGGTTTTGTCCTGCCAATCCACTGACCTTATTTTCTGAACTCCAAATTGTGAATCACTGTTCATCTGGCAGAAGGCAAAAAATGTGAACTGCAGCCTGTCCTGATCATTCCAGGACTTAAGTTCAAAACATGCTCTCAAGTCATCTCTGTGGCTACAACATTCACCCCCAACCCAACCTTTTCCTTCTATACCTGACTTCCACCTCTGGTTTGTTGTGACGTTCCACAACTTGGGAAGAGAAGTTCTCCAAGCAGAGGGCAGCCTGCAGGGTGGCCCGAACGGCACTCAGGTAGGGACGGAGCGTGGCAGTCTGTAGTGAAAAAGCCAAGGGATGAGGATGATCAAAATCCATAAGCCCCTACACTCAATCCCCCTGATGGTGCCCTACGGCAGTCCCCATTGAAGCCAGGCAATATCAAGGATGTGAGGTTTTTGACTCTCAAGAGATCACACCAGAAAAGAGCAGGCCATTGGGGACTCAGTCTATAGCCACAGACACCTGCCTCCAGGGGACACTGGCAATAATGCCCTATCACTGGTCGTCACCACTGGGCTTGGTCCTACTAACATCAAATGGGTAAAGACCAGAGATGTTGCTAAACCTACAATGTAAGGGACAAGACACTGACAACAGAGATCTATCCAGTCCCAATTGTGTTAAGTTAGGAAACTCTGGAGGCGGCATGCAGTAAGTGAGGCAGGCAGTGCAATCTGCTCATCCAGCCAACAAATGTATCCAGATTCACTGATCATTTTCCCCGCAGTAACCCCTTGTGATTGAGCACATGGATTGAGCCATGGGATTGCTGGGGTGTAATCTTCACAGAAGCAGATCTCCAAATTTTTGAGGCTGGTTGGTTCAGTTAGCAGCCAAAATGTTTCACTGTTGCACTGCCCAGGCTCCTTAGGCACTGAACTAGGTGATAGAAATTCGAAGATGACATTTGACAGAGAAGTAAATGATTATGGTACAAAGAAACACAAAATGGGAAAAACTGATAAGAAATCTATACTTGCAAAATACACAGAATGTGATTTGAAGATAGAGATAGTATTCAGAAGATTACACAAGAAAAAAAAATAGAACAAGGAACAGTTCCAGTAATAGGAGACCTAGCTACATTGATCTCTTTATCAGCTGTAAAGCTGGGACTGACTCATTGCTGACCCTCCAGTGTTTTTTCGAAGGCTGTAAATCACATGGGAGGAGACTGCTCATCTTCATCCTGCAGAGCTGCCAGTAGATTCACATCACCAAAGAGGCATGGCCTTTACATCAGCAGCACAATGCCCTAAGGACTAGGTTACTATTAGCTGAATCTTTCCTCATCAACTGGTAGACATTGCTCATCTCTTATCACTCAAGTATCCTACTTTCATTTATTCCTTCCTCAATATTTGGTTAACAAAATTTTTAAAAATGCATATTTATTATAATAAATTAGCAAAGCTCTCATATACTACTATCAATAATAACTTGATAGCAGTAGTAATCAAGCTTCAGGATGTCAAATTAATTCTTTACAGTATAAATTTATCTACTTATTAGCATAACACAAAAGGACATCTTAAAAGTTCTAGAAGCGGTTCTAACAATATTCCTCTACAAAGGAAGCATTCTGGATGCAGAAGGTAAGGCTGCAAGCTCAAGAAGAGTCTCAAATGCCAACCTACTGAGTTTAGGGGTTTTTAATGAAGGAACTGCCAGGGGCTTTCTGAGGAAGTTTCATGACTGCTGCCACACAGCAGCTTTACAAAGCATGGGAAAAGAGGGAAGTGAGAAAAAGGCAGACAGAGACATTTAAGAGAAGTGCTCATGAGAGGCTGGACTAGGGCAGCAAGAAGGAAAAAAAAAGAAGGGATCACAGGTATTAAATTTACAGAATGGAATCAAAGATCAACTCCCAACAGACTATGTTCCTTTCACAGGGCAGACTACTAGTGAGCAATTAAAAAGAACTACTGATACCTACATGAATGACTTCCAAATGTACTTGTGAAAGGAGCTGGATTAAAATGCTACATAATAAAGAATTTCATTTACATGTCATTCCAGAAAAGGTAAAGCTTTTCCAGATCCAAATCAATGCTCACCTACACTTGGGGAAAAGAAAACTTTCTGGGCCGACAAAAACGTTTTAATTGTTGACCATGGTAGAGGTTATGTGACAGTGCTTGCTTAAATAAACAGATGGTAAACTCAAAAGTCACCACCTGTTATGGCACTGGCATTTCAAATAACAGCAAGATCAATGATGATGTATAGGTTCTGGCAGTTTCAAGATTAAGGCAGAACAGGAAAAACAGTCTGGCAATTCACTTTCAAAAATCAAAGAAAACTGTATAGATCACTGGAGAACACTAATGGACACAGCATCAGAATGATCAGTCACTGGAGGACATCATATTTGGGGAACTAGAGAATCACGTACAGATTGGCAGAAAAGCCATTAACGATGACCATGAACCAGGGCATGGAATTAGTTCAGCCATAGCTGGCAAAATGGGACCAGAACAGACCTGAATTTTAAAAAAACTAGGTGATTTGAAAAAATAAGCACAACAGGAACAATTATAGGTTGAAGGCCCGGACTGGAACACTTGCAAGCATACTCACGAGATTTTTCAGGAGCCTAGCGTGTGACCCTGAATTACTGCCACAACTACGGGATGCGACACATACTAAGGGGTGCAATCACCATCTCAGAGAGGGGAACTCAGATGGTGGAGAGACTTGGCTGCTCTACCATGCACATGCTGCCCTGTTTTCTAAGCGGGAGACAGATGTTTAGTAGTGTTGTACTCTTATCTGTCATATTTCCCATCCAGTATGACTGAACCATGACTTCACAGCATTAAGTCCTGATCTGAACATGTAGGAAGGTGACTATGAAGGTGAGGAAGGTGACTATGAAGGTGAGGAAGGTGACTATGAAGGTGAGGAAGGTGACTATGAAGGTGAGGAAGGTGAC